CAAAGTTATAACCAGGGAGATGTAAAACATGCTCATCTGTCCCTGTTATAACCAGAGTCGATTTTGCAGCATGGGTGATTTTTTTATTTATTTATTCAACAATTGAGAGGGTAGCTCAAACAGCAATTCTACAGAAATTATGAAATTGCAAATCAACCTTCAAATTTAATTGTCGCTAATAAATATTTTGAAACAAATTTTTTTCCTGTCTGTGGGCTAGTAAAATATTCTGTGGGCTAGTAAAATCTCTAGTAAACTAGCCCAGTGGGCTAGTTACCAAAAAAAGTTAGGGCAAGCCCTGTAAAGGCGTATAATAGGAGTGTACAATAGCAAATTAAGTCCTATTGTAAAGCTAGATAAAATAGATAAATTGTTCACCCTGTTGCCCACCCACTTTAACAATGGTATATTCCAATTGGGTGGTTTATGTCCTGGGTGGTTTATGTCCTACATTCGTGCTACCCGGTAACCCGGTACCAGCAACTCTCGTCGTCCTCCACAGGGGTTGTCTGTTCTAGTACACCAAAGTATCCCCCTCCCTACTCGTCTCGAAGGATGTACTGGGTTCTTTATAGTGCACACAAGCCATTGTATACACTGGGCCTACGGTTTATAATAATATTGTTATATTTATATAGCGCATATTGCACATTGCCCCTATGCGCTTTACAAAGAAAAAATATAGGCCAAACAGAGAAAATGCAAATAACAATAAAATAAAATAAAAATAATAGTCATAATAACAATGAGACTAAACTACTCCTATTCCTTAAACTAATTAATGGTTGGCCGTCCTTATTCGAGAAGACTTGTTCTACCACCAGAACGATAGGCAGCGTGCCGTTCAAACCAGAGCCAATATTATGGCTATAGCTTGCGGCGCCCCTGCTAACCACTCAGCCATTCGAATCACCGAATGGAAGCAGTGCTTCTAAGAGCATGTGCGCATGCTCTTCTCACAAATCGGGACCTCCACTGCCGATCGGGTATTCTATCTATAAGTCTAATCTGAATCGATTAAAGTTTAAATATATTTACATACATATGACTGGTATAGAAGAAAATTTGAATTATTATTATTTGAATTGAAATTTATTAAAATACAGGAATAAGAATTCTTTTGAAGACAAGACAACCATGCCGGTATTAAAAATAACATGCATTGTATTTTTACTATAGACGCAATCTGATTATGTATAGTAGTAGGCTTACGAACTTTTCCTATCACTAGCAGGCCCTAGCATCAGTGGCGGGTCTTGAAATGGAAGGGAGCTGATGGTGGTAGGAAGGTAAAGTGGGGGATTGGTGATTATGGGATAACTCGCAAAATAAGGTGATATGAGGTTACTTGAGCATGATTTGTTTGCGGGGGCGCGACTGGGGGATGGGCGAGTACTTTTTTTTTCAGGGGTAGGGGGAGGACGTGCGGCCCCTTGTACATCCTAGATATGCCAATACCTAGCATACCCTGCAATTTACACGGAGATTGGAAACGACCCGAGATTTCCTTTGTTCTTCATCCCGACGATTCGTTGAGAGCTGCCTGCTTTTGTTATGCAAATAAAGTCAACCGAACACTGTTGCAGCCAAGCGAATGCTTACTGCACATACTCAGTTGATAATCAGTGAACCATGTCAATGAAAACAACTACTGTACCGAATAGGCTTGCCCTGAAACCATCGGTGGCTCTAGAAGCAGTGCTGACATAATGTCCAACGTAAGGGGGTGTGGGAAGAGGGGGTGTATGTATAGTCCTATGTTGTAGGCCTACTCAGTATCTTCATTGAAATCATACAAAAAAATATCCACCTGTCGTCTACAGCAGGCCTAACTAAGCAGTCAAGTCTGAGAGGCTAGTCTGCGCTGATTCGATTGTATGCCCTACAGATTCATTTCGGACCTTCGAGCTGTATTTTTTTTTTCTTTTGGGGGAGGGGGGTGGAAGGCGGTTGAAATACCACTGGCCAATTTTATAATTCACTTGCATTTATTCTGTGCCCTATAATATAGTTGAGAGAGATGAATTCAGTTGAGAGATGAAAAAAGCACTAAACATAAATTTATAAAAATGTTGATATGATCATGGAGGAAATGCTTGGCTCATAGAGCCAAGCATTAACCAATAATCATCAGTGTCATCATTACCTGTAAAATCAAGAAAAATGTCCTTTAGGTAGGCCGGGAACATTTATAATATAAATAAGAAATATTCAACTACAAAACATCATATTTTAACGTATTCTAAAAAAGAAAATTATTATGAAGAAATAATACTCAATATATATTCAATCAGTATTTTATTTTCATATCAGTGTAAAATTATAGATGTAAAAATACATGATTTGCAATAGGAATGGAGATGTAGGCCTACATCTACACGGTCACTACCCCAGTTTACATGCACTAAACAAATTTATATTGACCATTTTATATACCCAAATTAGCAGTCAATGTCTCAACAATATACGTAATTCTTCAATGAGGTGCATTTTCATTGTGAACCTTGATGCTTTAATTTGAGTTTTGTTTATCTCTTTCTCAGCTACCTCTTATATGTGTTATTGCATTTAGTATGACGCTCATCAGTATCCTAATGCCTCCAGGTACGTTATAAGTCTGTCGTACAACGACTTATCCAGTTGGTGCTGACTTAGTTGTGACATTCAATGATGTTGATTTTTACATTAAATTTGTCTTTTCTTTCATAGCTGAGACTTTCCTGGCAATCATGTACTTCATCTTCTGGTTAACAGCTACTATTGTTACCTTAGGACTAATTTACATATTTGGACTGGAGTATGTGGATGCACCTAGATTGTGTCAGAATAAGATAAAAGTTGACTAAGCAATAAGAGTGCAGGTCTTCAACACAAACAAATACTTTTAGTTTGGAGTAGAGAGCAGTAACTACAATAATCATGAAACATATGAGTATAATTTTACAGAGCTTACATATACCAGTGGATAAATATTTTCGAAATTGAAGTACTAAATAATCAGAGATAAATCAGATGTTAAACATTCATGAAACTATATACTGTAATTTAAAAAAAATATGATATATGGACCCGAAAAATTCTTGAATATTGTGGCAAGCAATAGAATTGGTCGCAGTAAATTTCTTTATTAGATAAATTATAAATCAATCCTTTGGTTCAAGTTTGTTTGGTGTTTAGATGCTGCCATAACTATATCACCGTTTAATGATGACCGTATAATTATAGTGATCATAATTTAGAATTGTTGCATAGATGGCAATGATTACTAGGTTTTGCTATATTATTTTAAATAAATTATCTTCATCCTACAGTATTAATAAGATGTGATATTAATGTTTTCACTTTAAGACCACTTTAAAAAACCAAATTTGTACACTGTAAATATGAATATGCAATCATAATATCAGTGATAAATATATGACCAACACTTATCTGTGGTTCTCTAATTAGCAAACCCTCACAATTGAATTTTTTCCTCGTGATTTTTTATGTATGCAGTTTTTTAATACTCAGAACTATGAGAATCTAGGTTTAAGGGCTTTTTAGCACAATCATGTATATTTGCATAATTATATAATTAACAAGATTGATAAGTTGTATTACATTATTAATAGGATTGGCGGTGAGCTAGTTTACTGACTTGCCACCTTAATTTAAACTTTATTTTACCTGGTTTTATAGCAAACATATTTGGTGAATCTTCAGAGGGTGAGGAAAATTTTAAAAATTCCAAGGAAAATTGCTCTACCAAAAAAGCATCCAGAAAAAGGTATGCCCTTATAGAGTACTACAGTGTTACGTCACGATACCACACTACTACGTTGCTATTGGCGACACAAAATGCCACTGACAAACCATTGATCCCAATTTCTAATGTATTCATTAAGATGTTGTATCTTAGTTTGTCTTTGTAAATTTTAATTGATGATTAAATGTCTGTTCCAATAACTAATTTAATGCAAGCTTTTGTGTTTTTAGTACATTTTGATGGTACAGTAAATTATTTGGTTTTAAAAAGCCTATTCCAAACCATTAAGATTATGAAGTCATTCAGGCGCAATGAACGGTAACCAGCATCTGGTTGAAAACAAAGGGTGCCACATGGTGTTGTGACGACATGACTTGTACTCTATAGGCATCTTTAGAGATTTTATTTTGTTGTAGAACTGGTATGCTTTACAATTTGTTCTGGGGGATATTGTGAAATTCCAATTTTTTATGGCTTCTGTTGTGCAAACAAAATCTGTATTTGAAATAAATATTATAGGAGGGCATTGGTTCACAAAACAAAATGTAATAAAAACATGTGAGGACTCACAAAAAATTGAGTCACAGGGTTTCGAAAATACCAAAATGAGGTTTACCTGCATAGATATTAGCTACTGTATTAAATTGGTCTTTGAATAAATTTACTAGAATATTTAGAACAAGAAATGTCAGCTTTTGAAGTTTAGATAATGCATTATGGAAACCTTTTTCGTTGGAAAAAGAAGGCCCAATTTTAAACAAATACATAAATCTGCAAAAAAAATATGTAGAAAATTTATTCAAAAGTAATACTAAAATATAAAAAAAATCAAACTATTAAAATATGTCAAGATGAAAAGATCACAAGTATTTACTAATAATCTCAATAATGATCTCACCAACCGTGTATGTCATTTCGTAGCGAGACCAAGCCAAACCAGTCACTCATGTAAATCAGAGAAAATAGCCAAAACATGCTATCATGCTATTTTGTTATTTTCCCCGTTTTCAATGTTAAACCAAAAATGTTTAATGATTTGGTGAATATGTTTCTGCAAATGCCTGAAATTGTAAACTTTGAAAGCTGATTTCTCAAATACTCCTGTGACTTCATAATGAAATGTTGGATGTAAATGGTTTACATTTTATAACTCTCATTTTACTATTGATTGTTTGCAAGGAGTGACTGGTTTGGCTTGACTTTTGCCACATATGTTGTTGCAATATTCAATCTAGCTGAAAAAAACTGTATTTCCAGTTCCTTGTAATCACTGAATAAATTGAAATTATAAGTAATCGTTTTCTCTTTACTACATTTTAGTTTGTCAGTTTCAGAACTTTTCAATATGTTCGTAGTTTGTTTGTAGTTTGTCTTTGCACAAATGCCTCTGCCTATATTGACATACTGTACTACAAAAAAACTAAGACAATTATACTCCACCAGACTACATATTACTACCTCTGTACACAATGTCCATGTGAGGAATAACTTTTCTTGCGAGATCCTCCTCTTCCAAATCATAGCTGGAGCCGGAAAACACTGAAAATCATATAGCAAATATAATGGCCCAGATTTGCTGAGACCCCTGGACACTTTTTGAGAAAAAACATCTACATACAAGATCCACTTTATTATTTCTGTTCTATTCTGCTTAGCTTCTTTTCTCTTCTCTCTACTGTACTTGTAAAATCTTTTGGAATATTGTATTGGAAACCAATACTCCAACCATCAGGAAATTTCTTATCAATTTCTGATGCAGTAATTTTTCAGAACAAAATAAAAATTTAAAGGCATCTTGTCTGCACCTAACTTTGATGTCGGAGAAAGATTTCATCCTGAGATGAAAGCTTATGTCCCATAATACATAGCCTTTAACAGTGAGATGATATATGCAGCTTTTGTCTTGAACAAGTGGTGGTGGTCTAGTCAGTGGTTTATCGACTGTAGGTGGTGTGCACGCTCCTCTAAAAACTACTCCCCGCCCTGGTTGTCCCCAAATAATGCGCTCAAGTAGTTAAAATTCACCTAAAATTAGCTTATTTCGTGAGCTAGCGTCCCTCGCCCAATCATTGATCCCCTACCCCAATGACTTAGCACTCCCCATCAGGGACTTCTAGATATGCCACTGCCTCTCGTAACAACCAACTGTGGTCTTGCTTTTCCCACATTATTCTCACTTGTCTCAAACTGTGTCATCATCATCCTCCTTTTCCTCTTATCATCATCGTCATTTTAATCATCATGATTCATCAACATTGCCGTCATAACTGCCAGCTGCCACGCATGCAGCTCATACTGTGTGGATGATCTGAAATATGTGTTCTCAAGAAAAAATATGCAGATTATGAACAGATGTTTAGTTGTAAAAATGCTACCCTAAAGTGGCGAGGAATGCATTTCCAGGAATTTAGAAAAAACAATTTCTCAGGTGGAAAAGGGGGTAGAGGGAAATTGGAACATCTGCTTTACTGGCCAAATAAAAAATAATTGTGTTGGCCACACCCAACCGACCCAAAATGTACACCTTTACCTACCGACCTACCCATTTTTTGGATTTTCCCAAAACATGGCCAACACAAAAATTTTTTTTTGGCCTTATTATTAAATATTGCTTAAATCAACTAAAAGGATGGCTGGAGTGGAATTCTCAAAAGTCTCGTACCTGCAAAATTGCTCAACTTGGAATCTTGTCAAGGTATCTGTCTTATTCACAATAATGGATGTATAATTTCTCAAAAGGTATTAACAAAACAAGAACTGAAAAAATATAGCCCCAAGACTTCCTATTAGCTGTGTATTTCAACTGACATGTTTTTATTGAATTTTAAAATAAACTAATATTGTTTGAAATAATAGCATTACAAATGAATAAATAAAATCTAGAAATATAAAGTTGAAAATGATTTAAAAAAAGTACAGTATGGAAAATAATTTGTGATGCTAGAGCATAGTGGATCGAATTATTTACCAGAACTGTAATTATTTTATTTCATAATATTTCAACCCACATCCAAGTCTCTTTTTACGAAGTAAAGTTGTATTTTTGTGAGAAAAAATCCTGCTGTCACAGGACTTGAACCCAGGACTTGTTATACAACTCCACTCCCACTTCACTTCTTAAAACAATTTGTGCTTTGTGTACAGTTGTAGCCCAAACATGGCTATCAGTCTTCCTTGAAATAACCCCCAACAATCATGTTTTAAACGTACACATAAATTGCTCACTTAACAATCAATGTATGCATCTGTCTGTGACATCACAATATATTAAACAATATTTATAGAAATTTGTCATTCTTAAGATTTTTAGTCTATTTTCTTCCACAAAATCAGGTCCATGAAACTCTTGTTTGCTATTGTTTAATATTAAAATTTTTTATAATAAACCAATAATTTAATACAGTAACATTAATTTTTTACAAGTCATATCTTACACAGTTGAAACAAAAAACAAAACCTATGAATATATCTACATAAAGGCCAACTCAGACAGCGTCGGCCGACGCAGCCCGACCCGATTTATCGTCGGGGACAGTCTTAAGCCGTCGTGAGAAATATTAAACACGTTTACTATTCTACTACGCGACTGCCCCCGACGCATACCATCGCGTCTGCGTTCAACTCACACAGACCCGACGCGACAACAAATCGCGTCAGGCTGCGTCGGCCGACGCTGTCTGAGTTGGCCTTAAGGTGGGATAACAAATTAAAATTGTGAAGTCATTAAACCAAATTTTTCGGTCAAATTTTTCACTTTCCAGGTACAAAATATGATGTTATGTGAACTCTAGGCAAGGAATATGGTGTATTGAATTAGACTTGGTATTCAGCAACGCTCTCATTGTGTCGTTTCTATCACTAGTTTTGGTGCTGCATAATTTCTATTGTACATAGTTTTTACTTTAAATTTTTACCTTTCTTTTATTTTCTTGTAATGTTCCTATAAATCTGGACCTCTTGGGAGACCAGTACTTTATTGTATTGAAAGAGCCATTCAGAATAAAGAAAGATTTGTATTGTATTGTATTGTATTGTATTGCCGTTTATTTTTGAAAAGCCTTTATACTAAAGCTGCAATATTTTATATGTTTATACCTAAGATTAATTATAACTTCATCACTCCATTTTTTGTACATATTAAATTACTTTTATCTTCATTTATATTACTTATTAATAAAATATTATCTCATTGTTGTAAATTCAAATTGCATAGTTAATTTTAATTCTAATATTTAGGCTATAGTGTTATACTTTCATTAATTAAATACTAATTGTCTTTATTGTGATTATTGTAAAATTTATTCTTTGTATGTAATTTCTATATTAAATATCTTTGCATATACTGTATGATTGTTAATTACTATTCTTGGTATTACAAAGTGTTTTTTTTTTAATTCAGCTATATTAAATCTTAATGTTAGTTTGATGCAATTCAGTGCAATTTCAAATTTTGTTTTAATAAACCAGAATGAATGAATGAATAATTCTCATTGCAACTTTTATTGGAGCTGATACTAATTAAAACTCAACACTGGCTTGGTTTGAACCACGGTCTTCAGAGTGCAAAAAGCAGTTACCTCTCTCAGCTGAAAGACAATCTCTAAATAATATAGGAGTGATTTGGCGCAGTTGCAACTCTGCTTCTCAACCCTGAGTTCAGAGGTTCAATCCCTCGCTGTTTATTTCACTTGTGTACTTTGCAAGGCAGAATCAGAAAAAAAACTTTATTAATCTCCAAAAGAAGAAATTTGTTGCTTGATAAAACCTTTCAATTGCACATAAAAATACATTAAAATAAATTTATAATATAAAACATTTTACCTACTGTTGTTTCAAACACAAATGCACTGATTACAACTGCAACACTGAAATCTCCCCAGGGACCCGAGTATTAGTTCCATATGTGCTTGAACCAATGACCAGGGGTTATAATGTAGGGATCTCTACAATATGCACTCTATAAGTGCACCATTGTCGTCCCTGCAGTCGTCGTTGTTATAATCAGTATAATTATAATCAGTTCAGTATAATTTTTCAACTTACCTGTCTTTTTATCACTTGTAGACTTTCATTTCCAGAGCATAGTAACTGCTTAATCCTAATTGGGTCAGTCTCATTCTTATTTTCTTGGAATGCTTCTTTAATACGCTTGACAGCATAATTTCTTTAAATATAGAAAAATATTACTATGTCACACTGTATTCCTATAGTGAAACGTTTTATTTTGGAGGTTTTTCAGAGCAGTAGGTTATGAAGAATGCCAGTCAAGTCACCCTCTTTGGAAAGTCACCACTAGACAAGCTAGCTAGGTCGATAATTTGTACCCTACATAGGATTGAGTGTGTAATCAGCAAAGATTGTGTAGCAGTATGGAACACTGATGTACATGCTAGTGATTTTATACAATGTTTGGAAAGTAATTTATACAGGGTTTCTGTACAGTATTTTAAAACAGTATTTTTTATTTGGTATTTTGTGGGAACTTTCTTATTATGATGATGGTAGGCCTACTTTCTACAATTTTTCCAGTATGATTATTTTTTGTTTTTTTACAATTGTTGTTTCAGAAATTTAAATTACTATATTTAATTTCAAGAATATGATCATTATTTTAGTTGCAGTTCCCAGAAGTGAAAAGTAATATCTCTAGTATATTGTAATGAAATACTGTAGCTCTACAGTATATAATTCTGTAACGTATGTATGTAGTATTTATCAATTTCTGAATGCTTCATAATAAAGGCATGCCTTTTGTTATGGTATTGAATTGATTTGTTAAATCAAATAATTTATTATTACATTCCTTTTTTTTAATACTATACAATTAAATTTATTGTTTAACTACAGAACATTTCATGTTTTCGTGGCTAAATTCAAGATAAATTCATCACTATGTTGTTTGCCAGCTATTTACAAAGAATAGATGCCCAGGCCCGGGGTTTATTAATCTCAGCTTATCAAATGTCTTAAGTCAAAAAAGTTTAGATGTCCCAAAGCAAATACCTTATTAAGCTGATTTTATCAAACCATCTTAGCAAAATCTTAGCTTAAAAATCGTCTAAGATGGCGCATGCTTACAATTGACATTTTAATTTTAAGCAAACTAGATACGACGGTGAACACCCAATTAAAAACGTTAAGGTCGATAGGTTAGGGGAAGTGCTGGGATCTTGTGCTATTTCAGAGCCTGAGTGTACCCAGGACCCAATTACTGCCGTTGACAATGTTGGGACTGCGGATGGGGATTAGCTTTTAAACTAATGGAGGTTGGGGCACTGGCCAGCTGCCCGACTTTTCCCTGT